GAGAGTGGTCATATGAGGATTTAGTGGGCATTTTTAAGACTGAGTTGGAAAAGTACCGAGGTAAGCGAGGAGGAAAGAGAGGGAAAAAGCACAAACCTAAAATCTGGTGGGATAAAGAGGTTAAGGCAGCCATATCACAACGTCAAGAGGCATCTCGAGAACATAGGTGGGCAAAGAAAAGGGGAGCAACCCCGGACGAAGTAGCAGCAAAATGGGAAAATTTTCTGAATAGAAAAAGGGAGGCATCAGCTCTCATACAGACCAAAATTGGCAGCGCAGGGGTTCAGTGGATGATGGAGATAAATCAGAACGACAGAAATGCAGCAAAAAGATTTTGGGAGCACATTAAGGCACAGGGAAAAAAGACGGAGTCGTGCCAGCACTCACTCACCACGCAGGAGGGGATAAAGGTTGAAGGGAAAGAGGCTCGAGAATACATCAGGAGGACAATTGAAGAAGCTTTTTCGGAGTTGGAACCAAATGGAAAACTGGAGAACACCAATCACAGTAACGTGCAGGAGGAAGAGGGAGCCAAAACAATGGGAACTACTATAGGAGAATGGGAACGAGCGGAAAGTAAGATTCCAGCAGGAACAGCAACAGGTCCAGATGACATTCCAATCAGACTAATTAAGGCCCTAGGTAAAGCAAGCAAATTAAAGCTAAAACAGGTGATAGACCAAATAATTAAAGGGGGGGACGTACCCAATGATTGGAAACTAAGCAAAATGAGACTAATATATAAAGGCCAAGGTAATAAAGATAGTATTAAATCATATCGCCCAATAACAGTAACTTCGGTCATATACAGGCTAGCTATGCAGATAGTGAAGAGAAGAATGGAAGAGTGGGCAGAAAGCATGCAGATTCTGGGTGAGCTCCAAAATGGTTTCCGAAGGGATAGAAGGCTTGAAGATAATTTATTTATAGCCACCCAGTGCATAGAAATTGCAGCGACAAACCATAGACCATTATGGGCAGCATTTTTAGATATCAAAGGGGCATACGACAATGTGAGTCAGGAAAAACTCTGGGAACTGCTGAGGAGGTATGAGCTAGATGCACATTTGATTAGATTCTTGCAAGAAGTGTATACAAATAATGAGGTGGTTATAAAGTGGGAGGCAGAAACTACAAGACCAGCAGCAATAAAAAGAGGGCTTAGACAGGGTTGTCCCCTGTCACCACTGCTCTTCATGGTATACCTAAGCGAATTGGAAAACAGGTTAGAGCAGAGCAACTTGGGATTCGATCTGACGTATATGGAGGGAGGGAGCGAAGTAAACCAAGTCATACCTGGACTGATGTATGCAGACGACATTGTACTTATAGCAGATAGCCGGGAAATATTGGACAAACTAATTGGGATATGTGGAGGAGAGGGCGACAAGCTTGGTCTAAATTTCAGTAGAGAAAAATCTGGAGTGATGGTTTTTAATGACGAAAAGGGGGAGCCGCTGAAAATTCAGAACTTTGAAATAGACTATGTAGATAAGTACAAATATCTGGGGGTCTAGGTGAAACAGGGAAAGAAATATTTAGAGGAACATGAGGAAAATGTAATAAAAAAGGGGAAAAGAAATTCGGCTATTATGAAGCATAGAGCACTGTGGAATTATAATAGATATGAAGTAGTTCGAGGCATTTGGAAAGGAGTCATGGTGCCAGGTTTGTCGTTTGGTAATGCAGTGCTGTGCATGCGATCAGAGGTTCAGACAGGATTGGAGGTCAGACAGAGAAGTGTAGGCAGGTTGGCACTGGGGGCGCATGGGAACACGCCAAATGAAGGGGTACAAGGGGACATGGGATGGTCGACTTTTGAGAGTAGAGAGGCAATCAGCAAATTGAAATTTGATCAAAGATTAACAAAAATGGAGGACGTACGATGGGCGAGGAAGGTGTACAAGTATTTATACATGAAGAGTTTGAATACAAAATGGACGAACCGAACGAGAAAACTAAAATTTAAATATCTGTCATCTAGGGAGGAGACTGAGCGGAACACAACGATAAAAAAGGGCGTAAAAGAAGCCGAAAGGAAAATGTGGAGTGGTAGGATGCAAGGAAAATCAGCTTTAGCAATTTACAGGTCACATAAGCAGGAAATAAGAAAAGAACAGGTTTTTGATAATTCACGGGGTAGTTCCCTACTATTTGAGGCTAGAACGGGGGTTTTAAGAACCAAAACGTATAGGGCTAAATTCGAAAAAATGGATACATTATGTGCCATTTGCCAAAATGAGAACGAAACAATGGAACATCTTGTTTTAGAATGTACGAGGCTTCGTCCTGCTCTCCTGGAGGGGTCGGTGGATTTGGCGGGGGCGCTCGGTTTTGCGGACGAGGATGGAGGAATGGAGAAAAAAAGGGTTACCATCACAAAAAGGAGATTGGAAAACTGGTGGATACAGTCTAGGGAAAATGAAACAAGGACGAACAATTAGCACAGCTGGGGGTCAGGAGGGACAGAGGAATATTGGGACTCCCTCCCGCGTGGCTCCGGCCCAAAGTCCCACACCTGTCCCCCAGTGGGTGTGGTTTAAGGAGGAACACCGACGAGGTTGACCAGAGGAAAATTGGCGACTCCCTCGCCCGGGGGAGGAGGCGGGGGGCGGTGTTTAATTTTTTTTTGCCCGATCCCCCAAAGGTCTTCCTGGGAAGTACTCTACCCGCCCGGTGATAGTTGCAGAGAAGTAAAGGGAAAACAAATTTCTTAATTAAAAATTTTAAGGCTAGGTGGCGCAAGCTACCGCCCGATATAAAGGGGACAGCCAATATCCATCCATCCATCCATCCATGTGGACAGTGTGGCCAGACCTTGATACAAGTATGTCTAGGTTTGGAGAATTTTTTTTTTATGCAAAGAATTATTTTATTTTGTGAACTCTAGTCACTGAAGAAGTTCCCGAGTGAACTTAAATTTTAGTACTGTATTGACTGAAATAGCGGATCAGCGCTGCACTTAATTCATCTCTTAGCCATTACCATCCAATCCGAAGCCAACAAACCAGCCTGTCGCGCATGCGCACACGAGTCGAACCTCAATACAAGGTTCGACGAACTTTCCACTAAAAGTTCGAAGAAGTCGAACCTGGTCGAACTCGAACCACGGTCGGTTCGCGACACCCCTATGGATGATAGTGGCTGCACCAGCTGTACATTGGCTAGAGGCAATATAACCTTAATACGGCTTTGTAACCACTGGCACTCAACCGGGCATAACCGGGCCAACCGGGCGCCATGGGTCAAAAACAGCCTCGCTATGGCAAGCGGAAGCTTCGGAAATCCCTCATTGAAAATACGCGTAAGCGACTGTCCGTGGAAGCTTCGCACGTTGAGGTTTCTGGTGTTCCAACTCGGATGGTTTTGTTTGCGAGAGTAACGGAAGTGGTCCTCAAGCCGCGACCGAGGTGTTGGCAAGGCTCGCCGTCCACTCCCTTCCTCGGCGAAGGGGACCCGGTATGTCCCGTGGCAGCGGTGGTCGGACACAGTGAATGGGTCCGAGCACGGCGTCACGCGACAAACCCAGTGATGGAATCTGTGCGCGCGCCGAACGATGACATGCGCTCGTGTCCAGTTCATTCCGGTACTCAATCTCAGCCTGATCTAGGTTAGGTTGGGTTAGGTTAGGCTAGGCTTTCCGCTGAGTCATAAGGTACTAACGGTACTAATGCTCAGAACCAAAAGTGGCGCGTACAGCCGCGGCCCGCAGCGTGATCGTTCAGGATTAAGGAAATGGCCTTGAAGAACCGAAAAATGGTATCGTGTGCCCTATAATAATATGTCGTTAGCATATATTCTACTTGCTAAGCCAGATAAATATTTTCAACTTGGAAGAATATGTTTGCGTGGCGGTTTACCAATCGCGCTCCTGACGGATGTCAGGAAATCCTTTATGTCCGTGGCTATGAAATTCAGAGGTCGCGTCGCTTTGTTAGCGAGCGCAGTTTCTGCGTGCAGGCGATATGTATTTGCGTTTCGGGCGGGAATATTCACTGGCGACCATACCGGAGTCTTTTCTGATGGCAAACTTGTTTGCAACGTGCACTTCATTTGCTCAAGGTTAAGTGTCCTTAGTAGCTTGTAAGTGTGAACCTGTTCTGAGCATGTGCGGTGCACAGTGAACTCAAATATGGTGTCCGGTGAATATGTTTACCGGACACCATATTTGAGTGCAGTGTTCACTACGCATGCCCAGAACGAGCTCAGACTTATAGGCCCGTAGCTCTCATGTTTTGAGCAGCGCTCCAGGCGAGCAAAATAGAATATTTGGCTCAAGTTTCGAACATGCGTCAATACGCTTCCCCACTAGAGTTTTTTTCTACTCCGTTCCATTCTAAGTGCCAGCGTAGCAGAGCCTACAAGAGCGAGCTGCAAGCTTCAGCGTCCCTGTCGAGCATGCGCGCTCGTGCAGTGCCAGTGTCTTTCAGGAGGGCATGCTTTTGCGAGTAGCTTCGGCTTCGCTATCACGTAAAGTGAAACATACGTGCTCGCGGAAGCTATGAACGAAGGCTAAGATGAAAAATGTTTAATGGGACGCTGCGGGCACGAGCTGCGTAATTCTTTTTTTAATTTTTATTTTTTTAGAGGTTTTGTTATCGCGCATATTCAGAGGCTTGCATTCGAACGTGGCACGTGCAAAATCGAATGTTACAGAGCCACCTGGATGGTTCAGCCATCATAGCATGGTCGCGTCTCTCGGATGCGCTCGCGCCCCCTGCCCCAGAGCACCGGGTCTATAGGTTCCTGAGACCGGCAAGCTCGATGGTGCACAATGCATGTTGCAAAAGCTCTGTGGGAGCACGCCGTCAGCACGTGCCAAGCGGCTACGCACTCGGCTACGGCTGACAGTGAATAATACCCCCTATAATAAATGTGTCTGTCTCTTGTTTCTCTGCATGGCAGACATCAGCAAACAAAAAAAAAAGAAGAAAACGGTGTACAAATGACGGACCTTGTCAAATCGTCACCCACTTTCCAACTTCATTGCTCACTTCTAGGCCGCAATCGGCCATCGGGGACCTCTACCGACATATGGAAGCACACCCTAACAGATGCTGTCCACCCAGGTACTGTAAAGAATGTGAGGCCGCACTAATCGGTGATCCACTTTTTCAATCCAGTTTCCTGATGACCCATGTTCATCTTGTCAATGCTTACCTAGATCTGCCGGCTGCCCAAAGACATGCCCCTGCACTGGATTGTGGCAGTGGCGTCAGCCTCTTCGGTGGTGACGTCCCTACTGCCAGCAGCCTAGGTATTTTAAGTTCCATGCTAATGCTGTCGGGGTTACCCCTTTCCGATTTGCCTGTTGCCCTTATTGCTGAAACGTTTTCTGATTTCGAAATGAATGCGCTGTTTGAGATTTTGGTCTGTGTCAAATTTTTGGCATTGCTGTACAAAAATAAATTCCGCCGGAGCACCCAGTGTTGTGCCTATCGATGCACTACGTGATTATGAGAAGCCGTAAAGCAACATTCGCAAGTGACTTTGTTTTGCTTTCCGCATGATAAACATAGCTGTTGTCACCGTCGCACATAGACTGCGACGTAATCGCGTCTCGTTGATGAAACGCAGCCATGTTGACAAGACGTCGCTGGACATAACGTATGAGACGAGTGCCGACGAGCCTTTCGTAGTTGAAATGGGAGGTCGTGTCTCCAGACCAATAGGTTTTATTAGCATATTGAAGGGACACTACAACGAAATTTCGGCGCTTATTTTTTGGTCTCTATGTGTTCAAAGGAGTAGTATCACATCGAACACACCAATATTTTGTTAAGAAAGTCACGAAAAGGAATTTTAAAAATAATTAAACGATTAGCAAAGGGCACCTGGCGGACGTTACTAACGCCTCGTCGGTAATGCCTATCTAGGAACCTTGAGAGGTAGTGATGGTAACTGTCTCGCCTCCAGCCACGACGAGAGAAGAGGGGAAGGAGGAACTCCCCTCTTCCCGAGAATCCCGTTTGTGTGGTCCAAAAGTCGCTATTGTCCCTCTACAAGGTTATAGAAGATTAACCCGTCATTCAAAATTCGTACAAAAGCAGCTGTTTCGGTGGCTGGAACGACTAGGTCATTCTCTCGACGTCAGCCTTGCCATAGCTTTGCTCGTCCCGAGACGAACTACATAATGATTGCGTTGGATGTCACGTGCTCTCCGCTGGCTGTTCTCCGAGCGCTTGCCAGAGTGGACCATTTATAACGAAAAATACAGTCATTAGGCCCAAAATAGAAACATGCAATTGTCCTTTACGGATATTGTGGATCATATTCAACCTATTTTTGACACGACGGGTATATTTCAAATTTCGTTGAAGTATCTTTTTAAATCCTTCAGTTAACACAAAGTTATCAAGAAACAACAGCCTTACAGTCTTTTTTTTTTACATTGTGTCTATTAATGTATGTTTTGTAATGATGGGCCATTGTAAATTATGAGGAAAGTGAACTGTTTCAGGGTGACTTACCTTGTAACATACAATACGCAGAAAGGACCGTGCCAGTTTGTTCTGCAAGAATTCATACATTATACGTCTTGCTAAATTTTTGTCCCGCGTTTATGTGTCTTTAAGAGCATTCGTACGTGCTGTCAGCATGGCACATACGCAGATGCTTCACTGCAGTCTGGTTTCTGCGCAAGTGCTATTCCCATAACTACTGTAGGTAAACGTTGACTTGTTTGTAAGCAGTGTGTCGGCCTATACGGGAATGTGCACGATACTGCACGCTGTGACTGTAACCTAAAATTAGAATGACTCCTTTCCGTTTAGTCGAAAAGTATGTACCGTAATATCCCAAAGGATGACCCACCCAAAGGAGAAGCAAATCGGGTGAAAATGAGGATAAAGCTAACTCTCAGTGTGAGATTGAGAAAAAAGATTTTAAAATGCCATTTTTGCATTCTGTGATCTTCCAAATTTGTTTTCACATTGGGGGACATTGGAGCATAGACAGCTGTCTTTCCCTTCCCAGTCAGCAATGTTTGCTCATCTCCAGCCATACCTCACTACCCCCCCCCCCCCCCCCCCCCCCCCTGTTTCGGCCAAGTTCACCATTGGCCAGGGCACTGCAATTACTAAAAGTAAACTATCTTTCAATGGTTTTTCAAAAGCAAGAATAGCAAATCATGTTAAATATTGGGGCGGACTATCTTTCGGGATATAATGGTAAGCAGACCGATCAAATTAAACCAGTAATGAGGACATTCCGGAAAGACCTTGCACCACTTGCGTCAATGTTAATGGCTTCGCACCAGTGTGCGCACTTCAAGCTTCACTGCTTTGCATTGGACCATGTGGTTAGAGCCTCACGCCTAATGAGACTGCATTCTAGGAGCAGCAGCTGATGCAGGGGAACACTTTCGGCATCTCAATGGGCTCGTAAATTATGCTTACTAGTTGTGCAGGCCGACCGACAGTTACAAAGGTTTTTTTAGAAAAGCTAAAAAAGAAATATAGGCCTATATTTTAGTTCTCAACTCCCTTGCAACTCCCTTGCATCAGTCTAACGGCACGTTGCTGAGCTCTGAACTTGGCTGCAATGGTGCTAATGCTACAGAGTAATGCACAACATTGCCTTCTAGGCACATGTGTAAATTTTCACAGTGTTTTGTGGGTTGCAGTTTTCATATAAATTAGGCAAGTCTGGTTTCAAAAACCCCATTTTAGGGAATATGCTGTTTTTTGTTTTAATTTCACTCATATTATTTAAGAGAAACTGAACTGAAATGGCGCGCATGTACAAAGTAAGGAAGTAAGCACCCTGGGTGCAATCTACCTGAAGTAAAGTCCTATAAGTACAAGGTACTTTCAAAATAAAGTACAAGTTCTTTTCAACACAATCTTTCATGATGCCCTTTCATTCCCCTTTGATGCAGTGTTTTTTTGTTTTTAAACTGGTATGTTTTGCCCCTGCAGCGATTGGGGGTGCGTCAGTTATTTCGGGAAATGGTGACCGATATTGGATAAAGTGAAGTAGTCACATAGTATGCAGTTATTTTCGGAAATGGCACCGAATTTAGAAGTTTCTTCGATTTTTTTTAATTTTAAGCTCCTTGCATTGGCTTGCACTGAAGGGGCTTAAAGGGCCCATGAAACGATTTTTGGGTTGGGATAAATCATTTTAGATTGGGATTTTATTAATAGAACATCGTTCAGTGGGCCAAAAGATAAACGGTAGAAAGTCAAAAGCCTGACATTCAGTGCGAAAATTTGAAAACACAGCGGACTATTTCGTTCCTTCTCCCCTTCGTAACCGCTCTGCCTTTTCACTGGGATACATCCGCGGTCCCAAAAGCGTGTCATCGGGTCCAAACTGACGTCACACAAAACCGGACCTCATTTAGTCCCTTCACCCCTAAGCTGACATTGTGGTGGAAGCTACGCGCATGCCGGACCAATCAGCCACCTCCGTTTCATCACCTGACTTCATTCTCTGCAGCCACATTTGCCACGCTTACGTGGCAAAAGTGTGGCTAGCCCAAGGAGCACGTAGCTTCCACAGCACTGTCAGCTTAGGGGTGAACGGGCTAGGGAAAGAAACTTTTGTCTGAGTTTTGAGCGACGGGCTAATCTTCTAGGGGGAGAATGGATGTGTCCGGGGATTACATAAACCAGGTTCCGAGCGAGAGGGGCCTCCCTTCTTTTCGTCTTCTTGAACTGTTTGGTGGAATGCGCGATTTATGAGTTGAGGAGGAAAGCGAAACAGGAAAAAGTTGGAAAAGCGTTTCATGACCCCTTTAAACATACTGGGAGAGCATGGCATCAGCCCGGTAGCTTCCGCAGGCAATCTTCTCATAGAGGAGTGTCCTCTCCCAATATTTTTAACCTCCTCGCTTGTGCTGGCCGAGCGAGATGTAGCGAGATTTCCAGTCTACAAGAAAGTCTTCCATGTGACATCAATCATCCGCTAAATTTAGTCGGGAATCGAATTGGTGTTGAGGTTATGCGGCATAAATGTTCCCGCTAAGTTTAGCAGGAAAATTGCTGTTGAGGTCACGTGCTGTAAAACAGTACCTGAATGTATGCATACTTGCTCATGTAGTACACTAAAAATACCATTCCTAGTCCAAAATGCCCTATTACCCCCCACGCTGCTGAACATTGAGCAGTTCAGCACTCTGTGAAATGTCAAACATTTGTGTGTGCGCAAAGTGAATCTCTGAGCAAGCTCCTAATCTGTTTATGGCTGATCATTGTTTTTGTTTTCCTTGTCCCAATGCACACAACCTTGACTTTATGTCTGTAGGCGACAAAGGGACCTTCCCACCAAAAGCGCCCAAGGGCCTCCAGTTCAAATGCGGTTTCTGCTACTACATCACCAAGGACCAGCATGGAATGGTCAGCCACCTAATTCACCATGCGGAGGGACGGCGGCTCGAGTGCCAACACTGTCCCCAGCTTCCTTCAGGTTTGGAACTGTACCACCACAACCATCCGGATTTTAAGCCACTCAAAAGTGCCAACAGGATGATCACCTATGGCTTTAAAAGAAACATACAAAAAACCACACCATAAAAAAATATATATATATATATTTTTAAGCATAGGGAGTGTTGCAAATACTCGAACACGGTACCCCTCTGGCCACCCGTACGGATCTGGGCATGTGGGCAGAACGTTTTTCGTGTCCTAGCGGCACCTCCAGCCCTTCAGTGAAATTGGCAATCCGACCAAGCGCACGTTCCAAAGCTTCCCGAGGAGAAACGCCACAGGTACAAGAGGTGGCCCCAAAGCCTTTGCTCACTCGTACAATCCGGTCACCCACCTTACAGGCTAGTTCACACATTTGTGTTAGATTGTGATAGATTGCGTTGTATTTCTTCCTAACTGTTTAACAGACTGGTGTCATCTATCGGGTGGCTCTAGAACACTTTCATCCGGCGTGTAACTAGACAGAAGCCAGTGCGTCAAGCAGTTACAAGGAAAGTCGGCGCTCCATCGCAGTGAACTGTAAATGCGTAAACCAGCCTTAAGTTGCATGGGCTCAAAAGAACCCGCATGTGGTGGCGTTGTCGCAGAGCCTGGAGCTATTGGAAGATCTGACAGACAGCGTTTTAATACATCCGAGGGTTAATAGTTGCAAAAGCTTGCAATGCCCTCGAGCCTTTTTTACACACGGAGTTTCATCATTTGCATCAAAATGCGCAAAGCTGAAAGACTTTTCGGGTGCCCGCAATGTCCTGAGCCTTTTACTAGGAATGTGCATAGAGCCTGCAGGGTTGCAAAGCCTTTAAAATAAAGCTAAAAAA